TAATTATTTCCTGCTTAGAATAGAAATAGGAATAAGAATAGAAATAAGAATAGGAATAGGAATTCTAGTCGGAAAATGGTTTCAATGTAGCGTCTATAAATAGGGTCTCAATGTAACAATTAATACACACAATTCAACAACATTCTTCCAATATATTTCTCACATGCTATCAGAGCACACTACTACAAAAGATCCCTTTAGTAGCAATAAAATATGGCATTAGCGGCAATAACATTTGCCATGATACTCTATACTGGCAAATGAACTTTAGCCGGCAATGTTGGGGTCGGCAAAGGCTATTGCGGCCATTGGGGGAAATGCTGGTAAAGGATAGTATTTATTGCCGCTACAAACCATAAGCTTTTACGGCAATTGATTGCGACAATTATGTTGGCTGCTAAATGTTATTCATACTCTCAAACTATTGTCTTTTATAGTCCATTGATTTAGTCGATAAATATAAACAAATAGCCGCTAAAAAGTACTACTTTTAATGTCAATTGTTTGCGGCAATTGTGCTGGATGCTAAAGATAATTCACGTTGGGAAACTATGATCTATTAGCGTCTATCATTTTAGTCGATACATCTAAATATATAGCCACTAAAAGGTAGTAGTTTTAATAGAGATTGTTTGCAGAAATCACGTTGGCTACTGAAGGTAATTCATATAGACTATTTGTGGTCCTTTAGCATCCATTGTTTTAGTCGATAAATAGAAATAAATATTTTCTAAAAGGTAGCAGTTTTAACGTCAATTCAATTTTACCATTGGGTCGCTAAATATCATAACATTTAACGACAATTGTTTAGCCGTCATTAACAATATCTACTACATTTATCGATAACATCCATAAACAAAAATCTAACAAACACGTTCGCAAAAAGAGCCTCATAGTAACAACAACTTTCACTAATGGTAATAACATATATATTATTATTAATCCATAAAATAGAATATATCTTTTTTAAATCTAGACAAACAAAAGAAGTACTAATCCAAAATAGAAGGTCACAATTTCTAAGAATAAACTTATATTGTGCAACTATTGAATAATATCTTCAAATAAGTTTTGTTACTCTTCTTCAAATAATGTCTCTGAAATCACCCACATGAAATTTGCGAACTTCGGATATTATAACCTGAAATAAAAAAGAAATTTGCCGATAAATGAAATCTAAAGTATACAAATATTGGAAGTAGTGTGACTAATCTGAAAAATTACAAGAAGCATTTAGGTAATTCAATATTATGTGGAGAAGAAATATGCAAGTTGATATTTTTGGTTTGCAGTTGTACACAACATGTCTACTGCAAAAAATTTGTGCATTCTCTTTGGCAGGTTGTTTGGTGATCAATATAAGGGAAAATGGTAAGGATATTATTCTAAATCATACTTTAGTCGGATAATTCCAGTATTTGTACAACAACTTTATATAATGGTGAAGCAACTACCTAGACCTTTTACTACCTTCTTGAATAATGCAACAAAAACAATGACATAACTGTAAATTTCATTTGATCCTAATGTGTGTTTGCTTATGTAGAAATAAGGAGAGAACTGAAAGTTTAGCATCCTATGACCACATGGATGAAATTGAACATGCAGATATCTCAATTTCTTATCAAACCAGAATAACTAATGAAACTGATAACATCACTTGTTGAAATACAAAAGACATGGACAACAGTAAAGTTATGCAAGAACAGAGAGGAATTCTACGAGATTAAACTAATACAATTAAAGTCTACAAAAATAAATCAAGAACCAAAGAAAAGACAACCAAGAATACGACTGAATAGTGAAGAAACATAAATGTACATCCCACTGGTCTTTTATATTCGTGTTGCCAAAACAAGTCTTGACGGACATACTGAAAGTATGTAGAAATTTCATATGGTCTGGAAAAGTGACTACAAACATAGCTCCATTAGTTGCATGTGACTTGGTGTGTCGGACCAAAAAGAATAAGGACTAGAAATTATTGAATGTATGATATGGGACAAGGCTGCTGTAGCAAAATACGTGTGGAAAATTGCTCAAAAAGCTGATAATATATGGGTGCGATGGGTGGATCATGTCTACATAAAGGGCACGGACTGGTGACAGTAGCTGTCTTCAGAAATCTTTTCTAAAGACACATCTTCTCATTTTCAACTGTTTGATGGGTTTCCAAAACTGTACCAAAGTTCAGAAGCAAAGATTGCACAAGCTCGGTCTGATTCTCAGTATGAATCTCTAATTATTCGAGCATCAACACTGTGGTATGCATGCGATGATGGTATTTCAGATATTGAAAGTCGGAAGAAGGGAAGATGTGATCAATCTTTCAGAGATATTTTTAGTGTCTGGCACATTTGTTACCCCATACACTCATCAAAGGAAGAACTCTAGACTTTGGAACCTCTTGCACCAAGGTGGTCATCTTTACAACACATAGTTGTAAGTCTCTGAAGCTGGACTATGTGAAGCGTCTTTATTTAATCAACATCGGAATTTTAATGACCCTTACTCGCAACTTTGGGGTTCTGCATGGACGTAAAATCTGATGTGTATGTAGAAATAGCTCCAGATCTAATTGAGGTCTAGTTAACCTTTGGACAAGATCAATGCTTTGCACAAAACTCCCAGTCAACATCATGTTTTAGCATTTGTAGGCAGTCAAATCTGTCTCCTCCAAGCAAAAAGTCATCCCAATAACATTATTTGGTAGGGCGAGGCTTGGACTCAATGGTTCTTATATCAAACATGAAGAAAAAAGAGCCTATTCTTCCAGATGAAAATGTTGTAATCAGATGTTACGTGTTAGAGGTTATTTCACTTAAGAAAGAAGAAGTTGTGGTGGATGCTGGTAAGATATTGGCAGTAAGTGAAAGTGTAGACATGAGGAGTAAAGAGAGCTTGATGCACACAGAAATAGAGAATTGTATTTTTGAGTCAGCGGTTGGCTTGTCAAACAGTTATTTGCTGTACATGAGGGAAAATACACGATAGCAAGCGGGTATACATGGAGAAGAGGCGAGCTAGAAGAGTGGACGTGGAGCAGGTGAATTTTGTGTAAGGGAATTCTTCCTAAGCACAACTTTTTTTGTTGGTTAACCCTTCATAGAAGATTACTTACAAAACAGAGGCTCTATGGAATGGGGATCTCTTACGACGATAAATGTCAACTATGTGGGGATGTACCAGAAACAATGGAGCACATTTATTTTGGCTATCTCTTCTTAAAAATATGCAGCAGAAAAAGGTGTTGTTCATCTTGTATTTCAAACATACTTAGAATAAAACATTGAACATCTTTGTAAGACAACAAAGTTTAAAAACATTTTCACAACTAGAAAATTAAACTAGTAGCGAAACTAGAATCAGAAACGAAAAAAATATACGAAATATTTTTCTTAAAGAATAATTGTTGTTAATATGTGTCTAAAGAATTTTAGTGATTCCAACAAACTTTGCAAATCCACGAAGTTACCAAGTTTAATGAACCAGTGAAGAACAAAAGAATAGAAGAACTGAAACTAATTCACAAATCTAACATTTGTGAAACAAGTACCAGAATCTGGAAAAAATTTAATAGGAAGAAGATAAAATCCACTGAACTCACATTGTCCCCTTAAGGAAATTATTTCCCTCTAGTATCCGAGGTTTAATTTGGAATATGACCTCCCAGGGTAAAATGATCTCAATCACCAGAGTATAGATACCAAAAACTATGGTGTCAGAACCAGTCAATGACAGTAAAGTACACTTAGAATACTAGATTTAGTAATTGAAAAAGAAGTCTAAAATTCTATTTAAAATTAGAGGAAATTCCTCAATTTATAGAAAACAAAGGGTAGTGCGAAAAAGTTCTTATTGTGCCTTACACGCACAAACTTTTGGAAAAGTCACGATCTTTCAGAAAGGCCATCACCTTTCATAAAAGTCACAACTTTCCATATAAGTCACAACTTTTCATAAAAGTTGCTACTTTTCATAAAAGTCAAAACTTTTCATAAAAATCGTAACTCTTCATTTTCCATTCACACCTTTTTAAAACCCAACAAAAGAAAATCTAAATTCTATGAAGGTGGCTGAAGAAAGCAATTGTAAACAGGGTCTTTGCAGGTTGTACAAACAGAAGAATAAATGCAAATGTTCCTACATTACCATCTTCATTCTCTTTGTTGTGCTTATAAATAGTGAACATTGTTTTGTGTACAATAATACATGTACAGTAAGTACAATGATAAACTTGTTTGGTAGACGAAGAGCCACCAACTTGAGTAAGGAGCCCTATGCCTGCTGATTCAAATCATCATCTCCCTACAACTTTTGCGGGTGAACTGTTCTGTTTTGGCTTGGTTAAATGCTTTTATGAATAAGTCATCTGTCTTCTCTTACATTTGAGACAAAATGACAACTGGATATTACAGATCAAGGAATTATAAATGATAAACTGCAAGAAGAGCACACTTGAATTACTACAGTGAATTTGAAAAAGAATGAGACAACTGGATTACAGGGAAATATGGAGAAGGCTGGAGAGATCCACAATAGGTAGAGGTTGCAGAGACCTGGTACTGACAACAATAGCGGTAGTGGTGTAACGGATATGGAAGGCAGTTAACTCTTTCCTATGGGATAAAAGCATGCCACCACCAAGGCGGATTATGGAACAAGTGAAACAGGAATGCAGGCTACATAAAACAACTTTCTTGGGCAGGAAACTATGAGGAACACAGGGAACAGATGGATACAATACCTAAGTAAATTACAAAGTTGTATAGAAGTAGGAGACATAGTTACTGGCGTAAATTTAATTCTGCTTGGTGCTAAGAGTATGTAAAGACAAGCTGGTTGTGGGGATTAATACAATGTTTTTCTTCACAAAAAAAACATAAATGTACAACTAGTGCATTCAAAATCGAAACTAAACGAACATCAAATAAACTCGAGCAAAACAAGACTGATTCAGCTAGCTTTTTGAACAAGATTAGGTCACATCGAAGCCAAGAAACTGATTAATAATAGCATTTCACCATTTCGCATACAACATCTCACATCAAAAATAATTGAGTTCACATTCTCTCTTGACTATCTTTTGTCTCTTGGAATTCTACTATTCAACACATACTTACAAAGCAAGAAAACACAAAGAATAGTGTCAAAAGATAAAGATGAGTAGTACGATGAGGTAGAGCAATTTCAGCATTACTAGATATCCTTGATGATTGTGGTACTCTATCTTGACCGCTATTATGGTTGGTAGATCTTTCATTAATGTGCATCCTTTCATTTATCATGTCCTGATCATAGAATACACAATAAATCCAATTCGAAATTGTATTATTCACTTGTAATGTTTATTTTTAATTGTTGCATGTTTTACAAAATAACGTTAAGAAGAAATCTTACGATTGCCTTGGCAGAATCATCATCCAGTGGTCTACCATTCGCATATTCCATTTTCAGCCTAAGTATTATAATTGATGTCAGATATGCAATGCTGCTCTGTAAAAGAATTTTGTTTTTAAGAAAATGGTGCAGTTATGTGACTAAATATATGCTATAAAGAGTTGTATGTACATAGCCACATTGTGAAAACTCGCAACGAACACCTTCAGTCTTGTCGATGACACTCTCTTAAACTCCTCCACAAAAACTGCTAGCCCTAAAGATGTTGCATTTGCAAAGAGGGCCAGTCGCTCTCATATATAGCCAGTTGTCGATACAAGGATACTGAAAAAGGTGACCACAGGGAAGTTCTCAAAGTTCATATCCTTCATCATAAGTAGACAGATATATGGAAAATTCGTATTCATGGTATATGGACATGATAGAAGCAGATTTTCCAGAAGCAAATAACATATTAGAGTAACAGAGGTGAGGAAAAACAAAAGCAATGCTACGTACAGAATCATCTACGGGAACTCTGCTTTCATCTCTTGATGCATATCCCCCCACAGGGTCATGAATCTAGCAAATGTTCATTGGATCTCACTAGTACATTTCTTCTCGGTACAATCATTGTGTTGGAATATGTACTTTGACAGTTTTTCAACATCTTCTTTGGCTGCTCCTTTCTGTAGAAAATATTGAAAGAATCATTTAAAAAATGTCGCACAAACATTACTATAGTTATAGTATGCGAAAAAAGGAAATTCCTTGATCCACGATTTCCAAATATGTTTGCTTGTGAGGAGAATTCAATGGGAGAAAACCTGACCTGATGTAAATCGTGAATTAACAAGTGTGTTTAGAAAGAGAGAATATCTTCTACTGAATGAGCCGCTGAAATTTGGAGCCCACTCATGTTCTTGGAATGGAGTAGATTGAGCTTGTCTAATGATTCTACATCAATGTTATTACCGGACATAATGACATTCTGCCACTATTGACATGAAGAATGAAGACCAAGTACTCCGTTGAGTTGCCAATTATCTTAGTCAACTAAAGTGTTTATTTCATTTTCTTCTGAAAAGAGCATCCCGAGGATCTCCTTTCAGATAATGGAAAACATATATCTTCAGGGAAATGAAATTATGTCGACCACTTCTTTAATGCTCCTAATTCTATGTTTCCAGTCTACCAATGGAAGCTTGAATGTATCAGCAACATAATCAGCTGATATGAGCAGCCCAATTAATCTTAAAGAAACCTCATAGTAAACCTATCAATAACAGGAAGAGTCATATTTACATTTCACGACATTAACCTAGTCTAGTCACATAGGTTGATGCAAACCTTACTTTATTGCACGACTATCATCTGCTCCATCCTTGTAGCTCTTGAATGTGTTAAGGGCATCATAAAACACAATCTTCAGACAGAATAAGAAATTACATTAAATTCATCTAAGATAAACAGGTGCAAATGCAGAGCACTTTCACATGGAATTCATAAGGGTCAACACTCCAGTGGATCGAACAACAACAAACTAATTACATAAGATTATCAATCATCTTAATGAACCTATATGACAGAGAACTATCTTCAAATATACATTCCCCTAGAACGAATTACTCGTAGAGAAAAGAATACAAAAATAAAGTTAGAGAAAGTAGAAAAATTACGAGACCATTACCTTATCAGCTACAATGTATAAGAATAGCAACAATACATGGAAAGAAACAACAATTTCTGAGACCAATAGCACAAGCCAGAACAAGTAAGAAGATCACAAAGAATACATCAAAAGCCAAGAAATCAGTGCAAAGCCTGCATTCAAATTAAGATATTAAAGATGAAAACTTTGATTTGAGAAATAAACTGAAAATAAAGGTCAGACATTTTGCTTACATAAAGAAAGTTTTCCATGCATACCAGTACAATTGAGGGGATTTATCCACCATTCGCTACCCACCAGCTCATATCAAATAAATTTCAATGATCCACCAGAACAATGATATTATATTATTTGCTAAATCCATGAATTTCGGCACATAACTGTACCATTTTTTTTCGAAAACAAAAATGTTACACAAACCTGCATTGCACAATTAAAACCACTGCAGTTTCTCTTTGCTACTTATTCTTATGGGAATTTTGTTTCTTGTGCTACACTCCGGTACTTATTCTTCTCGTATCTTTTAGGAGAAAAGGGAAATAAAGTACAGATGTGAAACACACTATCAAGGATATGGGAACAAATTAACAATACATGTCCAACTATAAGTATTATAGAAAACTTCAGATTCTCCTTCAAATAACTTACTTTAATTTTGAGAACTTAAAAAGCTTACTCTTTATCCCAGGAAAAAAAACTCATTCTTCCCTTACATTAAAAGCTTCAAACGCTTTTCAGGGGAGGAGAACTGAAGGACATGTACTAGTCATGCAAATCATACAAGAGATATGTAACATTCCGGAAATCATATGTCTAATGAAGAGCTCAATAAGTCTCTATAGGCACCCCAATGCCCAATATTGAGAAATATTGGGCATAGTATAGAAAAATTGGCTAAGAGATATTAGCCAATTTTCTATGTATGAACAAGAAAAATACATTTTTGGGTTGTCATACCCCAATCCAAAATTCATTGACCAAGAAATGTACATGCAATGAAGAACCTAGGCTAAAATGCAATAGCTTCATTTCAAACACATGAAGTACTAGGCATTCAAATGTCAAGTCTAGTACCACAGCACATGACCATTTAAAATGATCATGTAAATTAAGCAGTGCCCAAGAACATAGTAAGAATCTTTGGAAAAATAAGTAAGTATTCCCAAATGAATCATAAATAATAGTTAGTTAGGAAAGTACAACCAACACATGTGCAAACACATGTGCAAGACATGGGAAAAAGCTGCCAAAGGAGGGGATCACCCTAAATGAATTCAGTTAGGGTAGTTGGGGGGAAAACGTGTACAAGGTACCCCTCCATGTGGGGCCTAAATTCCTAACTAATTCTAGACTCTAAACTACTGCCCTAAATAGCTAAATAACCTAGGACCAAATGAAATAACTAAACAGTGCACCCGACAACCCAGGACCAAAACCGGGTTGACACTAACCTAGTACTAGTTAAAGAGATAAACCTAGTACCTAACCTAGGATTGTCCAAAAGGTTAATTATGGTCCTAACAACTCAGGGGTACTTTAGTAATCCCATAGGTTACCTAATTAATTAATTTAACAAATTAATTAATTAACTTAAAAAGGATAAAACCGAAACTAAAAAGGAAATATTTAGATTTCGGTTAAGACAAGAAAGGGACAACCGAGTACCTAACCTAGGATGGTCCAAAGAGTTAGTTAAGATCCTAACTATTTAAGGGTACTTTAGTAATTACCATAGTCTACATAATTAATTAATTTAGCAACTTAATTAATTAATTTAAAGGGGCAAAACCAAAATCACAAAGCAATTTCCAGATTTTGGTTAAAACAAGAAAAAGAAAACTTAGTACCTAACCTAGGATGGTTCAAAGGATTGGTTGTGGTCATAACGACTTAAGGGTACTTTAGTAATTACCTTAGGTCACCTAATTAATTAAATTAAAAATTTATTTAACTAGTTTAAATGATCAAAACAAAATTCTTACTCTAACCTAGTACAAATCAAGAAACATCCTAGTACTTAACCTAGGATAGTCCAAAAGGATTAATTTTGGTTCCAATGACTTAGGGAAACATTAGTACTTACCCTAGGTACCTAAATTAATTAAAATAAGTATTTAATTAATTAATATATAGTCAAAATGTTGACTAAAACCATAGTCAACACCAATTTCTAGATTTGACGAAGTATTATGTTCCCTTATGTTTAGTCAACTTAGGAGGGGTTCTTTTGTAATTGGTTAATTAGTTTATTAAATTAACTTATTAAACGTACGTTTTATAACTAAATATAACCTAAAAATCACGTTCAAACTCATAGAAAAGGCGACGCAAAAACAGCAAGCAACGAACAAGAGAAAAACAGAAAAATTTATCGATTTCTCTAGGGTGATTTCAAGGTTTCTTTAAGGTTTTGTTCAAGGTGGTCTTCGTAGATTAAGTTATACATAAGGTATGAGTTTCTCTACTAGACTTATTTCTCCAAGAGAACTATCTTTCGAATGATTCAAAGATCTTGAAAGCTAGGGTTGTTTCCCGTTGTTCTTGTCGAACTCCCTTTCCCTAGTATCCTTGTTACGATTTCAATGTTGAATAAATTAGAAATCATGTTGTTGGTATGTGGTGCGGGTTGATATTAATGTGTATGGTTTTTTATTAAATAATGATTGGATGAACCTATTAATTGGACTAGTTTAATGCTAAGTGTTATCATGCGAATTAAAAGAATGATACTATGTTAAAGATATGTATGAAAATGTTATGTATGAAGATGTGACGGTTTTTTGTGCATACTTGCTGTTAATATGATGTTATGAAGATGTTAAAGTCATAAAATGTTAATATGATGCTGTTCATTACGACTTAAAAACGTTACTCTAAAGTCATGAACGAAAATTTGCTTAACAAGGCCACTATGAAATCATATCTTGAATGAATTGGCTATATGGTTCCGATAAAATTGGCTAATTCTATTTGTCAAAATTAATATATTCTAATGGCTAGAAAGTTATGTAAATAATTAAAAGATTGTCTAAGGGTTCATACATATGGAAAATTAAATATGAACATATTTAAATTTGGCTTATGCCAATAAGAATGAATTTGCTAGTCTAACATCCCAAATCTTGAGCCTATACTAATCATATGCTAAATCTTGTGTAATTAGAGTATCTAATGATAATATAAGCACTTATAAAGTAATATCAATGAATCCATAACCAAGGGCATGACACTCATTGAGACAACTCCCAACATGTTCTAAAAGAATGATATATGAACTCATGAAACTCATTGAATGAAGTTCTCATCATCCATAAACGATGATATGGATCTACTACACTAAAGTAAGTAACGTGAGTTATAACATAATTAAAGGGGTCTAAAGTAAGTAAGTGAACATAATGATGTGTTAAACGAAGTGATACAAGTCTCACTTACACCTAAGCTGCTATGTTAAAAGAATACTCACGTATGAAGGTGTTAAAAGGTATGAGCCAGTCTCATTAACACAAAAGGATGATATGTAAGGAAAATTTACATTTCATCAATTTATGTTAAGGTTGACCAGTCATCAATAGAGTAAGTAAATCTCAATCTAGAAGCAAGCCTCCATAATGCTTGAGTCAACACTAGAAGATAAAGAAGAAATGTACATTCACGTAAAGGGGTAAGTAATTATGAAAATCAAATGTACTTATGTTAATTAATGTGATTAAAACATTATAAGAGGCTAATGTGAAATATGAGAGCAATCTCAAATGATCCAAAGTAAATGTTACCAAAACGTACTCACCTATGAGAGTGTAAATCTAAAGAAGACACCAGTCTCTATGAACACTCTAAGGAAAGTATTGAGATTAACGTATACTTAATAATAATGATGAGATGAGAAATCATCTATTGAGGTATGATGTCCTCATACTAGAAGCCAGCTTCCATGATGTATGAGTTGAATGTAATGGAACTTTATACTAAGCACTGATAGGCTAGCTATGAGCGGTGATGCCTTCTTTTGGGAAGGGCGGAGGTTTACGTAAATCTCATGAGATGAGTATGTCTGGCATGCTAGGTATGGTTCCCCTTATATCTCCTAGTCTTTGAACCAATACTGCCTAGCAGGGTTCGACTCCCTATATACGCTAGCATGTTTGAGTCACTTTGGCCGGTGATTGCACCTCTTTTCGTGTGGGGAAGACACTGGATTTATGATGTTCACATGATTTGTGTCGGTTAAGGTTAAAGTTCCTAAATAAATAATTAGGCCAGCCTCAAAGTATGAAAGATAATGAAATGAACGATACAGAAGGTGTTTGTGCAAGACAATCAGGAGGTGAAATCAGATTCAAGTTATGACATTAGGTCATTCCTGGTCATTGCACTTCATGATGCCGATAAGAGTATTAAATTTCATCCTAAGTATTGCTGGTGTTTACATCAGCCTAGTGAAGTACGAATGAAGGAATGAAGCAGACTCTGTGTTTGCTAAAGAAGGCCCTCGGGTTGAGGTCCCATATGTTGGACCCTCACTTGAGATGTCTTAATGTTACATCAACGATTTCAAAGTCTCATGTATATGTAATTTATGATATATAAAACATGAAAGTAATGAAATCAATTGCATGATCAATAGAGTTGCTTATGAAAGGTAATGAATATAGAGTGTAAAGAATGACTCACTATAAGGTAGGGAAATCATTCCTTACTCCTTGGGTTACTTACTTTATTCATTGTGGATATGGGACTATAATAAATTATTGCACTTGTAAGTAAAACATAGGATCAAAAGAATTATTGAACTACACAACAAGAAGAAAAAAGAGACTTAAAAATAAACTAAGGCTTGAGACAATATTGGAGTATGAATAGATGCCTCAAGGTATGTAAACAGGATTAATAACAAATTAATGTTCATAGCTAATAAAGACATAAATACATTCATACCCAATTTAAGAATGAAATTTTATCTTGTAAGTAAGGTATCCAATAATAGAGCATGGATTATAAATCAACTAATGAATGGGCATAGCCAATAAATATTGGCATATATATATCATCATACCCAAAGGAATAAGAATGAAGAATCTAAAGAAGAATAGCCAAATCATCTTCTTCTTCTTGTGAATTGCTTACTCGATCCATTGTAGTTATGGGAATACAATAAACTACTGCTATTTTAAGTGAAACATAAGATTAAAGGAGATCATTGAACTACATAAGAAGAAGAAGAAACAGACTGAAAAATAATCTAAGTGTCAAAAATAGGGCTCTCGGGTTTAAACTATCAAATTTCCAAATCTTCGCTCGAGTTGTTCTAAAATTATGTGGATGATACAAATGTTTTGTAATCATATAAAAAATGAGAATTCATTAAAATACATCATATTCATACCACAATTCACAACTAATGATTTAGGGA